TCAAGTGTGGCAGCGGTAGTGAGGTTGGCCCAGGATCGGACATTGTTTCGTTCTGCTGTGCATGGGGTCGCTATGAGTCGGTTCTGACTCGATGGCACCGGACAACAACAACAACATCATGATGCTATGGATTAGCCCACTGGTGAGGAATTTTATTTTCTTTACATTGAGATACAATCCATTTTGAAGGTAAGTATTTTAAGTCCTCTTCACTGCCAGCAAGCAAGGTTGTATTGTCTGCATATTGCAGGTTGTTAACGAGTCTTCCTGCAATCCTGATACCACATTCTACATATAATCCAGTTTCTGGATTATTTGCTCAACATACAGATGGAATAAGTATAGTGAAAGGATTCAACCCTGGCACACATCTTTCCTGATTTAAAACCATTCAATGGCCCCCTGCTTTATTTAAACTACTACCTCATGGTCTATGTACAGGTTCTTCATGAGCACAATGAAATATTCTGGAATACCCATTCCTCACAATATTATTCATATTTAATTATGATGCACAAAATCAAATGCATTTGCATAGTCAATAAAGTACAGGTAGACATCTTTCTGGTACTCTGCTTTTAGCCAAGATCCATCTGATGTCAGCATTGATATCCCTCATTCCACATCTTCTGAATGCAGCTTGAGTTTTTCGCAGCATTCTGTCAATGTACTGCTGCAATCAGTTTTGAATTATCTTCAGCAAAATTTCACTTGCATGTGATATTAATAATATTGTCAAATGATTTTCACTTTTTGGGGGGTCACCTTTCTTTGGATTGGCACAAATATGGTTCTCTTTCAATCAGTTGGCTAGGTAGTTTTCCATATTTCTGCATATAGATAAATAAATGCTTCCAATGCTGCATAAGTTTGTTGAAACATCTCAATTCATTCCATCAATTCCTGGAACCTTGTTTTTTCTATCTTTTTTTAACCAGTGTCTTCAGTACAGCTTGTAATTCTTCCTTCAGTACCATGGTATCTTGATCATATGCTATCTCTTGAAATAATTGAGCATCAACCAATGCCTTTTGGTACAATGACTGTATATTCCGTTCATCTTCTTTTAGTGTTTCCTGTGCCATTCAATATTTTGCCCATTGAATCCGTCACTATTATAGCCCGAGGCTTGAATTTTCTCTTCAGTTATTTCAGCTTGAGTGATGCTGAGCATATTCTTCTCTTTCGATTTTCTAGCAACAGGTCCTTGTAGATGTCAGTATAACATTTTACTTTGTGTTCTGTAGCTGCCCTTTGAAATTTTCTGTTCAGCTCTTTTACTTCCTCTTTTCCTCCTTTAGCTTCTTGCTTTAGCTTCTCTACACTCAAGAGCAAGTGTCAGGAGTGTCTTCTAACATCCATTTGGTCTCTTTTTTCTTTCCTGTCTTAGTGAGCTTTTGCTTTCTTCATGTATGATACGGGTGTCGTCCCACAATTCTTCTGGTCTTCAGTCACTAGTGTATAATGCATCATATCTTTTCTTGAGATGGTCTCTATATTCAGATGGATGCATTCAAGGTCACATTTTGGCTCTCGTGAACGTGTTTTAATTTTTTTCAGCTTCAGCATGTGCTTGCATATGAGCAATTGATGGTCTGTTCTTCAATCAGCCCCTGGCCTTGTTTAAGCTTAAGCTTGTTTACGATACTGAGCTTCTCCATCTTCTCTTCCCACAGATATAGTCAGTTTGATTCCTGCGTATTCTGTTTGCGGAGGTCTAGATATATAGTCACTGTTTATATTGAAAAAGGCATTTGCCATGAATAAACCATTGGTCTTGCAAAATTGTACCATGTGATCTCTTACATTATTACTGTCACCAAGGCCCTATTTTCAACTATTGATTCTTACTCTTTGTTTCCAACTTTCCCATTCCATTCACCAGTAATTATCAGTGCATCTTGATTGCATATGTGATCCACTTCAGACTAACATTGATTTCTGTCTCTCATATATTAGTTGGTATATTAATGATGTTGATTTTTTGCTGGGTAGTACAAAAAAATCTGATTTTGTAATCAAATGATACAAAGGAGAGAATAAGAGCTCATCTCACATAGCCAAGTAAATCCTAAAGTAAATGTTTTTGTTTTTGTTTTTGTTAACCAGGGTTGTATCTGTGGGAGCATATTTTTGAAGGTTTACTTGATCCAACTGATGTGACTGCTCAATGGAGAGAAGGAAATTCAGTTGTGGGAAGAACACATTTCAGGTATCAGTTGTGCAGTATTAACCTTTGAGGTGTTGAGGTTCAGTGTTTATGTAAATATTATAAGAAAAACAAGAGGAAAATAGGTATATAAAATATTTTATTTCAGTTTGTTGTGAACAATGGAGAAATAAATATCTAATAGTGATTAAAACCAATCTCAAACATTTTCCTATAAAATATGTGTACTGCAAAACACTTCTTATTTTGGAAATCACATTTGTTTATATGGAAAAGTTCATGCTCCAAGATTTTAAGATTTGATTATTGACAGGCATTAATTCTTGTCACACTTTTGAGGAATAATAAATAAACTTGAAAGTATTTTTATTTCTCTTATTAGTAGTCATAGTCAATTTTTGAAGTATTGAGTTAGTAAAAGAGCTGCTGCTACACTACTGAAAATTTTATTTATTAAAACCTTTTATGTAAGTTCTGGTATATGATTTAATGGTTTAGATTACCATTTTTCTGCAATACTCAGAAATAGATTTTAGTTGTAATAAAATCAATATATTGCTGAGATTTTTTTGAGCTTCTCTTTTTTATAAAAAATTTGTATGTATGACTATAACTGTGAGGACTCCTGGTTTGGTGCTGTGGGATAAGCCCTGAGCCTCAAGGTCAGTTTTAATACCAAGATCTGCAGTTCAAATCCACCAGCCACTACTTGGAAACCTTACAAAGGGTCACTATGAGTTGGAACAAACCCGAGGGCACTTAACAACAATAGCAAATAACTTGTGAGGAAAGCCTGATGTCTTCATACAGTAAGCACTGGACTGTAAATCACAAAGTCAAAGACGAGGCTTTATGCTCCTGAAAACAGTTAAAGCCCTGGAAACCCAATACTATGAGTTAGAACTCATTCAACAGCATTTAACAACAAAAACATATCTTTTGAAGAGTTTTATGTGAGTAGAATTAAGATAATTTCATTGAGACAAATTTTGATAATTTATAATACAGAAATTTTCAAACCAAAAAAATGGTGTTTTCTATTCAGTTTTGCTGTTATTTAAATTTCAAAAATAATAATTTTTTTAAATGCTTATTTCATGTCACATGTTAGTGAAAACTGTGACCCAAAGATTCTGTTTTTTTTAAGATTCAATTTCTTTCCCACAGAAATCAATCTCAATTTCATTTTAATTTTCACTATTGTTTTAATTCTTACTGTATAAACTTCTTGGGAAGCAGTTTCATTGTGTGTTATCTTTTAAAATGTAAAGAGGTTTTTAAAATTACATTTTCATTGTTGTTAAATGCCATCGAGTTGTTTTCAACTCATAGTGACCCTGTATAGGGTATCTGAGGAGTGGCTGGTGGGTTTGAACCACCGAATTGCAGTTCAAACCAGTCTTGCGGTTGAGTGCTTATCCTATGATTATTTTTCTTTTCATCTCTATGCAGACTCCTGCTGATCTAATCCCATTCAAGAGCTTGTACATACTCCTAAACCTAAAATAGTTAGATTTAGATGTCTGAAAGTAAATGTTTGTTACGCATATAACTCTAAAATTTAATGTTTGGAAAGTAAATACACTTTATGGGCATTGTTACAGTAGACTTTTCAGGAAAATTCTTAAAAATTCATAGAGGCGGGGAAAGCAGAGACAGACAGTGAAAACTCCTCTGCCAAAATAAAAAAAAAAAAAAGCAGAAAAAGAGTGGTCTGCAGAAAAACTATGGACCTTTGGGTCGTGTTTAAGGTTCTAGGCGCCAGTTTCCCACACCCATTGAGAAGAAATCTGCCTGTGGAAGCAAAATATGGTGATATCTGAATCGATTCAGCCGAGGTGGCCAGCAGCCAGAAGTCCTCGGGCCCGAGGGTAGGTCCACAGTGAAGCAGAGGCAGTGACCCAGCACTAGAAGCTGTGGAGCTGCGCTTCTGGAAGGAGAGGTGTGACTGATTTTTCATCTTTCACTTTTCATTTTTCAAGTATCTACTCTTCACCCCGATCGTACCCTCACTGCACAGCCCAGACGTCTTCGGGCAGGCAGGAGCACACCCCCAAAAGGGTCCAGCATTGCACCCACATTTTCCAGCGGAACAGAGAGGAAACCCGCAGGCTGCTTCTTATGATGTTTTAACCCTGGGAACCAGCCTGGGTGAGATACTTTGCACAGCAAAAGCTAGTGGACAGTGTCAATCACAATTTAATTTTTGTTTTTGATTTTTGGTTTCTGTCTCTGCTTTTATATTGTTTCTGTATTTGGTCCTTTTGGCCTCACTCTTCTACCAGGGGTTGGAGCTTTCTCCCCCTACATTACCCAAGAAGAGACAGCAACTGTGCCCATATAGCCAAGCTACAAGCATACCCTGTAATACCCCACCATTTGGACAAGAGCCAAAATCAGCTGCTAGGCATTACACGTGAAAAGGAACGCCTATCTCCAGATCATATCCACCAGAAGACACTCAGCAAGCTTAACAACAAAGCAACATGAATCCATTTAAGCATTAAAAACTCACATAACTGTTGAAAATGTCCAAGAAAACACAAATAAAGATCTCAACACATGTACAAAAATAGAAAAAAGTAACTGAGATAAATGAGCTGGAAGCAGACACAGACTTTCCAGTAGAAGAGCAGGCTCTGGACCTGCCTGAGAAGGAATTCAGAAGAATAAGTGGAAACAAATTCAAATGCTCCAAAAAGGGGTGGAGGAAAATAAGGAAGAAGTCAGGAAAGTGCTACAAGAGAAATCCAACAAGATAGATACAGCATTGGAAACAATCCAAAACCTGCAAAAAGAAGTCCAGATGATTAATAATAAAATATCAGAAATGGACCATACACTGAAAGGGCAAAGGAGCAGAATGGAAGAGATGAAAGCCAGAACCAGCAAGCTATAAGACAAATCTCTCAATACTGCTAAGATAGAAGAGCAAGCAGAAAAAAGGATTAAGAAAGTCTGAAGAGAATCTAAGATTCATGCTGGATAACATAAAGAAGAATAACTTAAGAATTATTGGCATTACAAAACAGGAAGAATCAGAGAAGTCCACAGAAAAGATAGTTGAAGAGCTTCTGGAAGAAAATTTCCCTAACATCTTGAAAGATGTAAAGATATCCAGGAAGGATAGACCCCAAAAGAAAACCACTGAAACATATCATAATCAAGCTCTCCAAAATCAAAGACAAAGAGAGAATCCTAAAAACAGCCAGGGAAAAGAGAAGTGTTACCTACAAAGGCAAGCAAATCAGATTAAGCTCTGACTTCTCATTAGAAACCAGGCAGGCAAGAATGCAATGGGGAGACAGATAGAAAACACTAAAAGAAAAAAAACTGCCAACCAAGAATCGTCTATCCAACAAAACTATCAGTCAACTATGATGGTCCATTCAAAACATTCCAGGATAAACAGAAGCTAAGGGATTTTGTAAAAGCCAATCTAGCGCTTCAAAACATCCTAAAGGGAGGTCTTTGGAATGAAAACCAGCAAGAACAGATAACAACCAGAGATTGAGAGACGTGGCAACACCACCTGGAACTCGGTCAATGGATTGCAGAGTTCAGAATGGAACAAAATTACAGCAATGAATTCAGAGAAACTGTGAGGCTAACCAAAGATCAAAATATTAACAATGTTCTTAGAAGGGAAAAATACAGGAACAGAGATCCAGGTGGTGAGGAGGTTGAGTAGATGGCAGGATACAATAGACTGTCTTAAATGCAGGGAAAACTTAACAGACTATAGGGTAACCCCAAAGAAAACTAATACTTCACAACTTGCGATGAAAATGAAGATCCAAGCAGAACAATAACCCCAAAGAAAACTAATACTTCACAACTTGCTATGAAAATGAAGATCCAAGCAGAACAATAACCCCAAAGAAAACTAATACTTCACAACTTGCTATGAAAATGAAGATCCAAGCA